ATCAATATTTCCAGGTGGTGTTAACATGTTAACAATGCACACCACTACCCCTGTGCGTGCCGTCAGAAGGAGTTATTCAGCAGCAAGGGTCCTCTCTCTTTTTACTTTCTTTCTCCTTATACAGTTTTTTTAACAATTAGGTATACAACACATGTACTTGTTTCAATGAGCTGTCAAGCTGCAGACCGCAGCTTTTAGCCCTGAAAACCACTCCTAATGTTTTTGAAAAAATAAAGAAAAACAGAAAATAGCTAGCAAAGAGAAGGCGTGCTCGTCATTTTGTAAGCGACTTCTCTTAATTGTAACGTCGTTGCCCATTGAGACCAAGGACCAAAGGTATTTGGTACTCTCTGCTTGCAGAATAGGTGCAGCATTGTTTATCTTTCTCTCTGATAGTTGCCAGTGCTTTGCGCCTCCTAAATTATACCTCTCATTAGCCAATTCTTTTGCATTCTTACTGAGTTTCAGCTTGTACTATCCACAAGCACATACATACCAACATTAAGCAGCAAGATATCTAGTAAGATGCTTTATGCCTCCTAAATTACGCCTCTCATTAGCCGATTCTTCCGCATTTTTACTGAGTTTCAGCTTGTGTTATCCACGAGCGCATATATACCTACATTAACCAGCAAGATATCTTGTAAGATTAGTTTTCCTTTAGTAGAGAATCCTCCCTTTATCTCCAATTTATTTAATAATCCCCCTCACTATCGAGAATGCCCATTCCAGGGTTTTGCATAGACAAACACCCTTGTGCCATGTGCGCGGCGCAGAAGATGCAAGGTCAGAGTTGCTGCACCCCTACCGCCAACGGGTGGCGAAACATACTCGGAAACTCTCCCATTGCTTTTGCGATGTGCGAGAAAGCTGTAAAGAAGGAAATGCGCACAGGTGCAGCCTAGCCCGTCTGTGCCCCACTAAGTGCGCTTCAGCCAGTGGCCACCAGGCGGCAACTTCGCTGGATTTCGAATGGAGTCGCCAGAGATTGAGCGGAGTAAAGGGCTTCACCCTATACTGGGGTTTAGGGACTGGAAGAGCAAAATAGACTTTAAAGGGGCCCTGACATACTTTCTCAGGTAACCATGGAATGAATTGACTGGAAGAGCTTATTGCCCCACGAATTCAAAGCCACAAAAATTTTAAGAATCCGTCCAGTGCGAGTGGAGTTACAAAGCTTTGTCGCATGCTGCCAATGTATTCTCTCATCCCGACAAAAGCACTGGAAGCTAAGCAGGGAGGGATGGCAGGGCCACAGAAAAACGTCACGTGCACTTCGTGACCTAGAACACTTTTGTCTTTTTTTCTACTGGAAGCTAAGCAGGGAGGGATGGCAGGGCCACAGAAAAACGTCACGTGCACTTCGTGACCTAGAACACTTTTGTCGTTTTTTCTACGAATGGGTGGCTTTTTCAGTGTGATCGCGCACGCACGCGTAGACAAGTAGCGGCCTCCCTCTGTAACGAGTGATCTCTGTAACGAGTGAGTGTGCCATGTTCAAATCAGCCAATGGCAGATAGATGGGCTTGCTACGTGTGATTTTTGGGCATATTCCATCATTTGTCGAGAGAAGAGAAAGCAATTTTTATCTGACTTTAATCATTTATTATGAATTCCAGGCAGCGTGCTGCGCTATATTATTTGGCTCTCGTGTTGTTTGGAGCCTGTACCATCGATTGACACCATTTTCTGACCATGCTCAAAGAGTGTTGCAGGGCCCCTTTAAGCGGGTAGAAATAACTAGGAAGATGTTATTTGATTGGTGGCTACAATCAAGACACGAGTGAAAATTAAATCCTTCACTGCAAAGTTTCAGTCCTTAACTTCACTATTTAAAGGAAAAAAAAAGATAAATCTAGTTTTTGTCCACTAAGTATTATGGCTAAGTGGCGTTAGTCGCTGCCTGATCTAAAGGGTACAGGCATATTAATCCATCCATCCAGGGGCGAATAGCAGTGTTCTCAAACATGTAACCTGCAAGCCTCTTATTTGCACCCTGCACATCTTCACCTTAAATTTTAAAAAAGCTTTCTAATAAGTATGTTCATGAGCTACACAGGCATGACTGGTCGCACTGTCTTTGTGAGGTACCTCAAGTGGTCACCATGTGTTAAAGCATTACCGTGAGGCAAAAACTATATTTCAGAATGGGTGTCCAGATTTTAGTAATTGCAGAGAGCGGCTTGACATGTTGTTAGAATTTCGGCACCAAATCTTCTTTCGAATTGGTGCATATATGAGATGTGGAAAGGCATCCTAGGTATCCTTTCAAATATAGCAATGCTTGCAGATAATTCACATAAAAACTCCACACACCCTCCTCCTCTCACCACTTTTCTATCTTCACTGCCCCCGCCATTGCGAGACAAAACTGTGTGACTGCTGTGCCGACTCGCTGCGGAGAGTTTGAAACCCCTGCTTTAGAGGGAAAAATTCAAGACCATTCCACTGGATGAAGGCTGATGACCAGCGAAACCAACAGGCATTAAATCTCCTTCGAGAGTTGCTAACATATGTGTAGGTGAACAGTCTCCTTGTAAACTGCAGCCTTCCCTAGACAATTGTTTTCAGGTGGCATTGGCATCGAGTCTTCTTTCTAGCGTTCACCAGCATCTTCTGCGGCCCCTGAAGTGCATGGCTAAACGCATGTTTGGCATAAAATTTTCACCAAGCCAAAATGACCTTTTTGGCAGCATCGTCTTTACAACTTTTTTAGCGTTCTACAGAATCTTGAGCAGCCTCTTATAAGGCACATGGCTAGACAAATGTCTGGCATAAAATTTAGCAATGCTACAATTTTCCTGATGCATGCAATTCTCCATGTTGACTTTACATGTCCTGCAGGGGGCTTTCATTTTCACAAAGCCACTTGGGGTGGCTTTTATTCCACCACCAATACACTGCTAAAAATTCAGTTTGCAGCCAGGACAGGCATGATGCGACAGTGACCAATCGCAAGACAGCAACTACTGTTGTTTTTGGTTCACATACTTGATTTATGCATGCAGCAATTTGCTGGAAACATGTAACAGCTCAAACATAATAAGTGACAATATGTTTTAATAAATGCTAATTTTATGAGATGCTACATTTCTGCCATGCTAGTTTATAATAGCTGCATGAGAGCAGCAAGCCAAGTACCATAAAATTGAGCTTTTATTGTCTATTTCCCATTGCCAGCGACTTTATTGGCAGTGCTAGTATATTGCAGATATTTTCACTGAGGGACTAAGCCACTCTTTACCATTCCTTTTTCTTAACAGCATTACATATGCTTAGCAGCACAACTGGTTGCATATATATATATAATATAATGAAACAATTCCAGAGCTGATGAGAACTAACAGACAATAAAGCCAAGGAAAATATAGATGCCATTAGAAATAAATGTTGAAGAAAGAAAAGTTGACGAAAAGATAACTTGTTGCGGGTAGAGATCAAACCTGCGATCGTTGAATAACGCATCCGATGCTCTACCAACTGAGCTACCAAGGCCGCCATCCCCCGTCCACTTTATTGGGCATAATATATGTGCATTTAAACGTGGGAGCGTCAGTCAGCGCAGCCAGTAGCCTCAGCAGCGTGTGTCGAACACTCTTCTACTTGATGGCGTCATGTAGCATGTGATCTTATTACGAGCTGGCAGCTGGCGCCAATAATACTCTGCATACTACCTTAAAATCAAATCCGGCAGAACAAGACCCTCACACCTGATGGCACTGACTGACACTCCCACTTTCGAATTCCAGCGCTGGTGTTTTAAAAGCCGACTGAGGCATAACATGATACCAATGCATATCATGTGCCGTTGCAGAGGTTTCAATGGTGTTTGTCACACAGGCCACTGCCAGTGCATTCATAAGTATTAGCAGAGTCAGGACTCTGGTATTAGTAAGCTAAACCTTGTGAAAGAGTGGGTTCGAGCAAGTTGGTACTCCATGATAACCTACTTCTTGTGCAACATTTTTAGACAACAGACGAAACACGAACGGGTACAATTTTCCAACTGAATTTATTATTGAAACGAGGCATATATATATATATATATATATATATATATATATATATATATATATATATATATATATATGACAACTTATTATCATACATATTTTGCTAATGCCAGACTAGTGACCACTTGCACCCAGAGGGATAGTAATTTCCTCCCCAAGCCCCTTCCCACTAGCAGACTGTTTATTTTGCTGGTTGTTGCTACAATCGATCGAGCAGCAGAATTTTGAGCGGTGCAAGCAGAAGTCACGGGAGGAGATGTACAGGACAGAACATTCTATCATGCACAAAAATGCCAAGTCTGTGTGAAGTTTCGGAGGAAACTATTCAGCACTCATTGTGTTGCCAGGTTGCTTCCTGGCGGCACATGCCTATTGGAATTTCGAGATGTGCATATGTATCATTCTAAGGTGCACAGTGAAAACCTCAGGTGGCCCGAATTAGCATGGAGTCTTCTAACAAGCCATTTCTCATAGCCCACGTGCTGCTCCAAGGCAATAAACCTCATCAGTTAATCCAGATCCATTAAACAATCATAGTGCACATTTTTACCATGGCAAGTTCCATTCAATGAAACAAACTATCGTATAGCAAGAATATAACATTTATTATAAAAGAACATGAAGAGCCACATGGTAAGCAAGGAAAGCCGAGCAGCTGGGCTGCTTGGCAAATGTTATAATTTTGCATTACACTTTATACACGACCAGCAAAAATGGGGTGCAATAACTGATGTATGTGGAGTTACAAAGTATGACTAGAGGCCGATTCTCGTGTTAGTGAAAAGCTTTCTGTACAGTATTCATACGGGTAGGCCATTGTCGCGATTTTAGCCTCGCTGATATATACAGGTTGCAGAGTATTGTTCTGCTGAATGTCAATCACACAATCGTAAATATGACTGCATGCATGTGCAACTACAATGTAGAGCTTCGCGACAGGTAGTACATTGCAAAGACACATGTATAAGCGGCTAGCACAGTACATACGTTTTTAGCTTGATGCTGTCCTCCAACTTGGAGGTCTCTGTCAACCTGAAGACGAATCTTGGCCTTCCATGCAATCATAAGATCCAAGAGATCTGACGGCGCACATTCGGGATCATCGGCAGAACTCGCATTTCGTTCGCTATCTCCCATAATCCTGAAATAAACAACGCACTTTTCGTGACAGAAATAACTCGCGACCAATATTACATTGCAAGCATACATAACGTGTTACACACCTTAGTAGATCCTGGCCTCTCCACTGTTGGGGAGGCTGTGTAAAAAAAAAAAAAAAAGCGGGGGGACAAAATATAAAACCTTTCATAACAAACGCCGAATTCAGACGACGCGACATTCATGCGGACATGTAATGTAAAGCGTTAGTTCACGTAGTACGGGCATCGCCACGTTGCACGGCATCTTCGATTTCAAAGAAGCTTTCATCGAAATAATTTTGAACAAGTACATTTCTACGTGCTATAGATCTCACGCTCACCGCCATGTAATGCTAAACAGTTCAAGTAATACAGAGTGTACTTGGGGTACTCCACGTTGTCATCATAAGATTCACTTGGTTGGAACATGCAGTAGCTGATGCCAAACGCAGCCAAGTTCAGCGCGCCTTCATTTTTAAATAGCACTTGTTCTGCTGAGGTTTTGGTATAACGACGCTAGATCACGCCGATATAGTGCACCGAGTGACAACAACTCGTAGGTGTCCAAAAGTGCTTTGTTTTCTCTCGGTGTTCACTTAGGAGACGGTGCTTTCGCATACACCTCGATTACAGAACCACAGAACACCCTCTACTACATCTTCCATGCTACAGCCAGCTGTTGAGAACTACGCCAATCGAGCGCAGCGCCACTTTCGGATATTTCAAAGTGAAAGCTAACCAACTTGCCTGACTTATTTGTTCAAAATATATTACAAATAGATCGAAATAACGCAGTAACATGTGGCTTAATAGTCCGAACAATTGTAACGTAACAAGAGTAACATTCATCGCCAATTCATCACCGTGTTGGCGTTAGCCTACGTAAGAAATCACCTTTTGAAGACTTCTTGTAGAGTTGCGGAGAGTTTGTTTGTCATTCAAAACCAGTGGCACGTATACTCACTCTGGGAGATTGGTAGAACCAGAAGCGTCGAACGGCGTGCGTTTTTCTACCTTTTTTTCTTCGCCTAGGCGCACGGTGCGCCCGTCTCGCGCTCTGGGCTTTTGCACGGGAGCACGCGCGTCCCATGCCCACGTTATCCGCATAACGTTTCAAAACGATTGGATTGCTAAGTTTAACCGACAATTGTCTTACGATTTGCAGCACGCGACAACGCAGTTATCTATTCACGAGTCGTGTCAGTCAGGCACGTCGAAAGCTTTCCCGAGTAGGGGCTCCCCAACCTCGCCGCAAACAGACTGCCGTTACATCCGAAACAAAAGCACGAGAGCTTGACGTCACGAGGGTAAAAATACATTAGGAAGAGCTCCCAGAACGGAAGTTGAAACACAGCCGCTGGCAGTACGATAGCCAGCCCAACGGCAGGCTGAATAGCTGCTGAAATGAGAGAAAAACTGTGTGCGACGAGGCGAACGACCTGACTCCCCACTTTTTCCTTGACTCGGACGTTAGCAAGGTGAAGCACCGAGAAAAAGGGAGAACCCCAAAGACAGTGCCTGCAGCTGCGGTCGTTACGGAAATACTACATAGTACTTAAAATGCCGAGGCTCTGACGGTGAGCTGCTTTCTTGTTCCTGTGGCAAAAGTTGTCTAGTGTTTCTACCCGCTCTGCAAGCAAAACCCGCAAGCTATGCCTTCGATTTGTATCTGCATGCCTGTATTTTGCTGCGCCTGTGAGGCTGTGTGATAAAGCTTTGCGATCTTCAGCTTCAGGCCTCATTTCCGGTTTCGACGACTTCGCGTGCATGGATAAAAAGCACGTAACCAACGTAACGTCGTGTAAACTTTATGCGTCTTCGGCCGAACCTCGCGGTGCCTTTTGACTGCCTTAACCAACCGTGCTCTATCGACTGGAACAAAGGTCTTGAAGCGTGCGTAGCATATTGGGCCCATGTCGTTATGCACGCGAAATATCTAGTTATAATAGAAATAATAATGTAGCGCATGAAGATAAACCCCTTTAAGAATGTCCCCACGCGCTTCCTGCATGTAGGATACTGCCTTAATACAGCCCACAAGCAGTTAGCCTATGACGCATGCGCAGTGGCGCAAAACGCTAACGCTAAAGGTCTCTTCGATTTGGCTTGCACTAATTCTGAAAAGTGTCACAGTAGTGCTATGGGCGCGCAGCACCTAAAGCCCCTAGAATGAAGATTTAGGGGCTTTAGCAGCACCGGTTCAGCAAGTGCAGGCGCAGCCACGACACTACGTCGCGGCAGCTACTGCCAAAACGAAGATGCAAGTGCAGGTAGAGTTCGTCGAATAGCAAACATGGCGTGTTTGATGGTGTTGTTTGCCAGAACACTGCCGCAATGGCTGTATTCATGCCGTATAAAGAAAACTGCTCGACAGCGTCCATGATTCCGACAACGGCGATCTGTGCAGTAACAGAGGAGGTGTTCAAGGGGTTTGTGTTGGTCCTTTGCTCGTTGTGCGTGAAAGTGTCAGTCATGTTCTCAGGTACAGGAACGCTGTCGGACAGTTTCATGAGTATGATTTCAAGAAACTGTCTATACTTGTCTAAAACGACGATTTAATGGTTTAGTATTGAATCCCATACTGTCTGCCTTCTATTTCAAGTGCGTGCGAGGTCATAGAGCAAGGAAATTCCGAAAATCCCGGGGGTTCTTTGACCAACAAAGCCACTTTTCTTCATGCTTTATCATTAAAGATACGTGAGCAAGCTCCCTTAAATACGTATTTTAAAACAGTCTTTTTGAAGGCTTCCTACTACATCGGCTTCACGCTTTCATAAAGACGAAGCGAGCGTGCAGCTTGCACTTTGAGCTGCATCTTTATTACTTTAACTATAGTGCCTAGAATATTCTAGGCACAATACTCTTAACCTTTTTTTTTTCTACGATTCTTACTGCAGTCAACCACGATGGATTTTTATGCTGGTGAGACACGCTTGTAAAAAAAAAAAAATCCATCTTTAATAGCTTAGCCGTGTCGATAAAACACGGCTAAGATTACCCATCGGTGGCACGAGCTTGACTCAACTATTTTCACGCATGCCCTGAACAACACGCAGCGTCGTCTGCTCCAAGCTTGGGAGGAGGTAGAGGCGCAGGCCATGCTGCACCTCTCTGCACCTTTTCTCTAGCAAGTGCAGGCCGGCAGAGAACTCATGCAGCACTACGCTTGTACCGCGACAAAGCGAGGAAGCTAGTGCAGAGCGCGCGTGCGTTACCAGTAAATCAAGGAGAAAGGTGCTGCACTCGTTGAACTGGTGCCGCCGGTGCAGCCAAATCGAAGAAACCTCAAGCTCAATCGAAACCTCAATCGAAGAAACCCCAAGTCAAGGAGGCACATGCTTTTGAAGTACCATTTTGAATACGTGTACTATGTACTACGCACTGTACATGATACATGAGTGCTAAATGTCGAGTGTTGTAGTGGAGGGCTCTAAATTATAACGACCTGGGGTCCACTAATCTGCACCTAAATCTAAATTAATGCACAGCTCTCTGGCATTTCATCTCAATAGTAATGCAGTTGCCGTGACCGGGACTCGCTAGAGACCCTCAGATCACAAGTTGTGTTGGTGGTGTACCGTAACCGCCAGACTACCATGGTAAATGTAGAATTATCAATCGTGGGTAAAATGTTCATATGATGAGACTTAAGAAAATAAGTTTATTCAGGAACCTGCCAAAGCCATCAATTACACTTAAAAGAAATTTTAGAACTTCCAATCAATAGATAGCATTAATGATCATGTAGCGCGAAAATTCGACACAGGGCAAGAGACGAAAAACTTGGGTGATACTTGATCAGTTATGTATTATCAACATGCCCCACCTTATACTCTTGTCAAGAGATAGCAGTAACTTGGAGAGATATACACTGAAGCAGAAATTCACTTAGTTCCTTATGCACTCGCCTGAGAACTTGATGGCAAATGCTCTGTCTATTGGTGCTGCCCCGCCTATCTAACATTGTTTTGCTCTGCCCCCACAATCAAGGGTATGGCTAACTTTCTGCGCTTCACGGTGGGCTCATGTTGGACCAAGCAACAATGTCATGTAATGACGTCGTCATGTGGGGTCATAATGGCATCATGATGATGTCACAAATTTTTATATGCGATTCATATGGGGCTGTAATCTCATGATGCTGATTTTTTTTTGCATCACACGTGTTGACGCCCATGCCATGGGACGCCGATGGTCAATTTTCGCGTTTGATGAGGCATGTAAGACTTCTGTCTTAACTAGACAGTCTGCTATGAAGGCTTCTGATATGTGCCATACTAGTGCATCTATCAAAATAACAAAAGCAAGACAGTAGTTGACAGAAAGTTGCACCACAAATATATCATGAACTTATGTGGAGTGTTAGCTGTTCAGATGCATAGGGTGTGTACTAGCTTATCATTTACCTTCAGTGGAGTATATCTTTGCAATAGAAAAGTTAGCTTGCTCATTAGTGTTCTCTGTTTCAAACTTTCCAGGCTTCACATTTCTTTATGGTGTTTCTTGACATTCAATGAAAAGTGCCACGATCATTGGCTATAATAGGATATACAGCAGAGGAAACTGTAGAGTCATTAGCAATGAGTTGGGTGACTTCTTTTCAACCTTCGAAGCATTATTCTCTGCACACACTTCAGGAGAAATAAATGCTTTTTCAAAACAAGGGGAACCAAGTCATAGCCAAATATATCCTAAGACAAACAATGCACACGGATCAAAGTAAGCCATGGCCCATGAAAGTTCTAAATACATTATAAAATAAAAAGCAACATCTCTTCTGATTAGCCATGCGTCTTGGAAGCACTGATGCATGGTAAAGCTGCTACATTGAAGAGAAACCTACCTGAGGGCTGTTCGCATTGCTAAAGAATCTTTTTTTTTAACATTGACCTGCTCGAGCTACTTACTCGTAATCCTTGTATATTCTGTTGCTTATTGAAACTTGTAACGAATGCAGAAGGCGCAGCAGCTACAGGTGCCGAGTGCACTGACATCTTCAATGCAGCATTATTTTATGTGTTTACGAAAAAACTACCAATCCAATCATTCTTCTGCTTACTAACAGAACATGGCATGTGCCACCTGCTATGTTTTCTACTGATGGCATATGGTCAGTCGTTAACTCAGAGATGCTAACGAATACTAAGCACATATCTGGAGCATTTCTCACCTTATTGTTTTCTCAGTCATTGTCTACAAGTACCTTATGTGCTTGGAAAGTGGGAAGGGTTGTTCTAGTCTTCAAAGCAGGCAACAAAGATTCCCCCTCAAACTGCCTCTCCCTTTCTTAACTAGCGTTCCTTGCAAAATCATGGAACATGTCATGTACTTGCATATCGTGACTTTTTTAGGTTCAGTAAGTTTCATCCTTCTCAACACAGTTTTTGTAAGTGACTTTTTTGTGAAACACAACTAGCAATTTTCCTGCGTGATATGCCCATTAATTTTGGTAACATTCAAACAGATGTCATCTTTCTAATGTACTCTAAAGCTTTTCACCAGTACCTCATAACCATTTTTGAATGAATTTATCCTTGTTAGACTTAGATGCTCATGTATAATACCGTGAATAAAAGAATTATCTAACCGTTCTCAGTGTGTCCTTGTAAATAACCTCTTGTCCAAGCTCCTTCCGGTCATTTCAGGCGTCTCTCATAGCTCTGTCTAAGGACCACATTTTCCTAGTATAAAATAAAGATCTATGATGGCATGTATCTTGTCCAATCTATGTGTTTTCTGACTGGGTAATTTATATTTTTGTAACTAGCATCAAGACCAGAAATCTTGGCAGAACGACCTTAATAGTGTACGTAACTTGTGCAATCATTGGCAGATGACTCTAAACCCTAACAAATGCGCATTTGTTTCAGTTTCCCACAATCATAATTCATTCCTTTCTACTTGCACAATTGCAAACAACCTCGTCGAATCAGTTCTAGCATAAAAGTACTTGGGCATAACTTTATTCCACGATCTTTCTTGGAGTGTAAATGCGACTTGCGTCATTTCATCACCAAAAAAGACCCTAAGATTTACGAAATACCACCTATGTCAAGTGCTGCAGCGAGGGGTGAATGAATTGTACTCGCGTACAATTCATTTGTCAAGCCACAGCTAGAATAGGCCACTGCCATCTAGAACCCTTGCCAAGATAATATCACCGATGCACTTGAATAAGCTCTGAAACATGCCACAATATTAATCCATTCTTCATATTCATGTAACGTCAGCATTTCCCTCCTAAAGGTAGGATCAAGCTTGCCATTCCTCACTTTTTGTCATTATGTTGCCACACTTTCTCTTTCTCACAAATTTTTTTTACAGCTCGTTAAACCGTGCAGCTTACATCATGCCATCATCCTCACACATGTCATAGCACACCAGCCATAAATTGCAAATAACATGTCCTTGATCACGAACCATAACGTTTCAAGTCTTTTTTTTTTTTTTTTTTTCCCCGGGCTACCAGAGACTGATATGATCTGCCTCGCCATGCTGCTGCTGTAAAATGTTATTCCAAATTTCTGGACACAGTACACAAACCTGTATCAAATCATAACATCTGCTTTTATTGTAT